CCAGGAACTTGTGTGAATCCCTTGGCCACAAGTCTGGCCTTGTATCTCTGCACCGATCCATATGCATTTTTTTTACTCGAAAGATCCACTTACACCCCACTATAGACCGCCCTTCAGGCAAACTAAAAAGGAACCACGTGTTGTTTCTTTCTAATGCTTCATACTCCTCATTAACTGTTATCTTCCACTGAGGGGACTGTAACACCTCATATATCGAGCTTGGTTCCTTCTCAGCCTCGACATGAGCTATGGAATAGAGCTTTGGTTTGAATATCCCGCATTTGCTCCTGGTCATCATAGGGTGTCGAGCAACAGGAGCAGCTGCTGACTGTGCTTCATCACTCGTGTTCTGCATCATACCTTGCAACCCACCTTGAGTTAAACTAGTGTCATTAGGTAATTGATTGGTAATCTCTTGTTCAACTTCATTCGAGTGCCCCACACTGTCTCTAGTTGAGTTCATAGTAGGACTAGCACTAGACGTTTGTTGTCCTATATCTGGAGACATTGTGTTAGGTTGCACATGCACGATGGGTGGTTGTTCTTGACTTTCGTGTGGCACACCTACTGTCATGCAAACCCTACCTGCTCCATTAACCACAGGCAGCTGCATGGTCAATTTTGTAGGGTTGTGACCATTTTTTTGAACATCTTGTTTACCTGCAAAAGGAAAAAACTGTTCATCAAAAATGACATGTCTCGAGGTGTAAATCCTCCCATCAGACGCCATGCACTGATATCCTTTATGATGTGTGCTATATCCAAGGAAGGTGTACGGTTATGACCTATAACTAAGTTTATGACCTTGATAAGCTCGAAGATGAGGAAAACACCTACACCCGAATACTTTTAAAAAACCATAATCTGGTAATTTGTTATAAAACTCCTCAAATGGTTACTTTCCTTGCAAAACTCATGTGGGAAGGCGATTGATTAGATGAACTCCAGTGCTTACTGCATATGACCAAAATCTAAATGGCAAGGATGCTTGAGCCATCAAGACAAGGGCCAATTCAATGATGTGGCGGTGTTTCCTTTCGACCACTCCGTTATGTTCTGAAGTATGTGGGCAAGACAACCGATGGTGAACACCCAGCTTTGTCAACAGTGAAGATATATGACGATACTCACCTCCCCAATCCGTTTGCACTTCTTTAATCACAGCACCAAACTGTGTTTTGACCATTTCATGAAACGACTGATAAGCCTGTAAGGCTTGATTCTTGGTTTTCAACAAGTATACCCAGGAATATCCCGTGTGTGCATCAATAAACGGAACATAATAGTAAAAGCTGCTTGAAACAATATGCGAGGGCCCCCACAGATCCGAGAATACAAGCTGGAAGGGATTTGTATAAACTGTAGAGGATTCATTGAAGGGAATCTTATGGATTTTTACCATTTTACATGCAACACACATATCACCATTTACAGTACTCGCAGTAGTAGGGAAAACAATTCCAATGTGTTTACAAGCTTTTACAAGTGAGGCATGAGCTGGATACCCAAGTCTCATGTGCTACAAGGTATAAGAACTTTTCACATCACTTGAAACTTTATTAACTACATTTGCTTCTAAACCGTTTGCACCACTATGCTGATCATCCACTGTGGCAACAAACTGATACAATCCACCACTCTCTTGTCCTTGCAACAAAACAACATTCGTTTCTTCATCTTTAACGAGACACTCCTTTGCATGAAACTCAAAGTAGACACCATTGTCTCTAGCAAACTTTGAGACATAAAGTAAGTTTTTAGTAACTGATGGAACATGTAGTAAGTTATGAAGAAACAAAGCTCGATTCTTAGCATTGAGAACCACAGTTCTAGTTTTACTAATGTTTAAAGCTTGACCATTACCCACGACCAGCTTACTTGGACCAGTGTAGTCTGAGCCATCGATTACTTTAGAAGCCTCGGGGGTGACATGATGCGTGGCTCCCGAGTCTACAATCCACATGTCTGAGGTTGGAGAGACCATATGAACCTGAGGATGCACATTGTTATTGTATGAATTAGTCACCTCACACTAGTTAACATCTACAGCAGTAGATTCATCTTTTTGAGCTAACACTCCTAGAAAATTCTGATCAAAGCGATGCCAACATCTGTCCACTGAGTGACCAGTCTTGCCACATAGTTGGCATTAAAGCCTAGTACGTCCTCGACCACGAGTTCCTGATCATGCACCAGATATGCCACTCGAAATATAAGGTCGATTGTACTGACCATGACCTTGATTGTTGCTCTGCATACGAGCAACATTTGTACTCATGGAAACTTGAGATTGAAGCTGAAAATTCTTAAGTTGTGCCTCGGCATCAACTAGCACAGACTTTACTCCATCAAGAGAGAAATCTTCTTTGCTCGCCTCTATAACCGCCATAAACGGTTGATAATCAAACGGTAAGCCATTCAATATAGTGGCTATTTGTTCCAAATCTGAAATCGCACTTCCACACGCAGCTAGTGCATCATAAACTTCTTTGATCTGTGTAAGATACGATCGCATACTCTCATCACCTTTTTTAATCGATCTTAACTTGCAGTGGAGTCTCATTATCGTCGTTGTGGATTGGTTGGAAAAAAACTTGAGAATCGTTGACCACACATTCACGGCTGTTTCTGCACCAACGAACTGAGGAAAAATGTGATCGCTGATTATTGATAACAGCCACGAGGCTAAGGCACTATCCTGTGCTACAAAGATCTCGTAATCTTCATTGACTTCAAGTGTGCCATCTCCGGACTGAATCTGCGCCGGCGGAGGTTTAAGCTCCCCAGAGAGTAACCGTTCCAGGCGATGACTTCTTACTGTTAAAAGAACTTGTTGTTTCCACAACAGGTAATTCATTTCATTGAGCACAATATTAACTTTCTTGTTGGTGAACAAGCGATTGTGTCTCGATGACTCTCCAAGATCAAGGCTGTGCACAACATCCTCAGCATCCATGGACGAAACACTAGTGGAGAAAGAAGAAGATGAACTTTGCAGCAATTATCAGAGAAGCAACGGAGGGAAGAAGCCTCCAAGACCAATGGCGACAGATACCATGTTGAGAAGATAGAGTGAAGAAGTAAATCAAGAAGTTTTATTCATCGTCGTTCATAATACACTACATTGTATTTATACAACATGTTGCAACAGATTAACATTAGCAGCTGAGTTTGTTAAGTTTGTTAAGTCTAGTAACTAATTGTGTTGAGTTGGATAACCAACTATGCTGAGTTGGCAACTTCCAGAATATGCTCAACAAGTTTCCACCACTAGATAGGCGGCGGAAATCAATGTAAGTTCTGATTCACACGAGAGACTCGATTCAGATTTCACTTCTCTCGATTCTTTATTGTACGAACAACCTCTCTCATTAATCGTGAGTTTGTCTGCAATACATTGTCCATTACTAGATTCTCCGATTCAAAATGTAGTTACTACATCGCAACCAAAGGCGCCAAATAGTTGTCCAAGTCATAGAAGCAGTTGGACAATCACGAAAAATATAGGATAGATTTTCAATGGTAGCGCCACAAATGGAATAATTCAAATCAAAATTCATGTGTCGACGGACTCTTTCCTCATTCGCCAATAGACGACTCTTATAAATCAGCCAGAGAAGAGTTATAATATGTGGTAGGTTACGATAATTGGCCAGTAAACTCCACATCAACAAATCATACCTATCGGCCACAACCCTACACATGTTATAGGTACTTTTGGTAGAAAACCGTCCTTAGTATCCCATTTCTAACTTGGAATATCAAGGCTTCCACTAAATAATGAAGTTCTGATTGCTGCAATCATCTAGAGAATTGATTGTGGTAACAAAGGCCTTAAAACCTCCCAATCCTACTCTCCATTAGAGGTCATCTTATCATTCGCTTTACCTTGGTACACTCGTTTGTTATCTTGGGCGTGAGATAGTTTCAGAGAGGGTTGAGGTCACTAAGCCATTCATCCGTCCAAAAAGTTAATGCTAGAGCCATCGCCCAACGTCCAAACAATACCACCACGAATCTCTTTCCACAAATCTCCATGGTTGGGAGAAAACATTACGATCTATGGAATCCGAAATCAGCTCAAGCATCTTGTATTTCTTATGCAACACCATTGCCCAAAGTTGGTCTTTTTGAGAGATAAATCGGAAGTTTTTTTTATTATAAAAAAAGCAATATTTTGATCTTACAAACGTTTCACACCAAAGCCACCATCTCGGATGAGATTACAAACCTCTTCTCAAGCCACACGGTGGTTTACAAACCTATTTACTTATTTAATTTTGTTTGAAGTACTTTATTATTTATTTTATTTATTTTTTCCTTTTAATTTAATTTTTTATCCATCTTTCATTTGATTAATTTGGCTTTTTACTTTTTTTATATAAATTAAGCCTAATTTTAGTTAGCATTTTTATTGTTACAATACTAACTTATTTTAATTGTTTTACAATAGTAAACCCTTAAAAGTAAGTAAATATATCTTTAAGATATAAAATTTAACTTGAATTTTAATTTAAGCTATCAAAACAATTTATAATCATGTTGATACTGATTTCGGGCGTTGTGTGGATGCTCATCCTTCCTCGTTCGTAACTGGCTTTCGAACCCTTTCAAGTGAATCTCTTATAAGATACAGATCTAGTAAAAGGTAAAATTTATATATTTGACCCTATCTAATCCAAAAGTTCGATGACGACTCTAAAAAGATAAATCATTCACTTAAATATGAACTTCTGAAGGACCTTCTCGACAATCATCATTGAAAAAAAAATATCACATCAACAATTTTTTTAATTTCTTAACTGCAAGTGATCAAAATGAGACCAAAACGTAACATTAGGTATGATTTAAGAAAATAACTAGGTGACCAAAACTGAATTACATGAACAGTTAGATGACTAAATACATAGTTTACCAAATAACAATAAGGAAAGTAAATAAATTTTAAAATATAAAGGTTTAAAAGTAAGAATGATTAAAAAAAATTAAAACAACCCAGTAGGAAAAGCCTCACGTTCTTTCCTATAGAGCAAAAGCATGCGACGGCATCATTTTCACCAGGTGGTTCAATCGGAACCCGAAACGGAGAGCGAAAGCGACGTCGAGACGATGAGGTGCATATCCTGCAAGGAGGAGTACGCCGCACGCGACGCCGGCACCTGCAAGGAGTGTTACGAGGAAGCCAGCGAGACGGAGGAAGAACTCAAGCGCGAGATCGAAGATCTCAAAGCCAAAGTCGCCTTCTTACGCTTTTGGTCTCCGCTCGATCATGCCCACCGCGGCTCCCCCACACCATCCGGTCCCATCTTCCCCGACGTCGTTTTGGTCGCTTCCGATGATGGCTCCCCCGGCTTGCCCCCTGTTCCTGTTCCCGCCCATAAAGCCGTTTTGGTACTATCCATTTGCTTAATTTCAAATAAAACCGTAGAAATTTGAACTTTTAATGTGACCCAAACTAGAAATTATCGATATTTTTGTTTGGATCACGGCTATTAGCTTTTGCAGTACCTAATAAGTAAAACCCAAATAAGGGAATATGTTTTTAGAAAGCGTTAATTGTTTGATTGTTGTTAAATGTTGAATCTTAAATACATACGAACATTTTGATATGAGAGCAGGTGAATCGTTCACCAGTGTTCAAAGCAATGCTTGAAAATGAGATGGAAGAAAGCAGAAGTGGGACGATCAAGATCAGTGATGTATCATACGATGCTCTTCGAGCCTTTGTGAACTATTTGTACACTGCAGAAGCATGGCTGGATGAGCAAATGGCTTGTGATCTTCTTGTTTTGGCTGAAAAATACCAAGTCAAGCATCTCAAAGTGTTCTGCGAGAAGTTCCTTCTGTCGAGATTGAACTGGGATAATTCTCTCTTGACCTATGCTTTTGCTCACCAGCACGGCGCCAAGCTCGTGCTCGATGCAGCTTTGAGTCTCATTACGGACAACATGGACAAGCTTACAAAGAAGGAAGAGTATATGGAACTTGTCGAAAAGGATCCTCGACTTGTCGTTGAAATTTATGAAGCTTATCTCTCTAAGCAGGTTAATACTGCTGTTCTTAAGGATACTTCGACAAAATCATAGTCAATTGTCGTCATTTGGATAGAGTTTGTATTGTGATCCTTGATAATGGATGGACTTTTAGAAAGATATAAAAGAAGTTTGGTTTTATTTGGTTGGTGAAATCTATGTTACGAGTTGTCAATGGATGGATCATCTCGTCCCCTTTGAAGTTTGATTCAAGTGCTATGCATTAGCCATTTAGACACACAAATGTGAATATCAAATACTTATGTGTTTGTTCGTGTCAAATACGAGATCTTAGAGGAACATATATGTGTGCTAGAAACCGTGTCGAACATTCTTTGAGAAATAAAGAGTTGGGGCAAACAATAACCTAGCATAATAAAATCAAATTTCCCCTCAAGTGAAACATGGATCACTTCCTAAAGATAACCAGTAGTAAAGGTTGCATTAACAATTTCAACATATACTGAATGGCAAATTTTCTAATGTACAAATTACACGCGGCATACAAAAGAGAAATTGAATCCTCTAGTGTATTTTCGTCTAAATGTAGAATTATCGATCTGTAATGTTCGCTGGGTAACATAAAACAATAGATATTCAAAATCATTGGAAATAAGTTGCAGCTCTTACTTTTTTTGTTCGGAGAGTTGCGACTTCTTTCTATGTGAGATTCCATGTGTCCAAAAGGTGCACACCACATGGACGTCTAAAACATGGTTTCACGAATACTCATCAAGAAAGCACGTCACATTCGTTCTCTGATATTAAAATTTTCCAGCTTGCATGTGGACCTTCACCTATATCATGTACCGCAGATACCCATCCCATTGCAGAGGCTATTTCTTTAAGTTCACCTATAACGGAGATTGAATCCCGTATATATACACGTCCACTAGGTCTCAGTATCCGGTCCATCTCAAGCATGATGGTTGACATATTACACCTACATTGACAAGAGAAGGAACATGACAAATTGTACCTGAAGAATGTGCATCATTACCACAAACTAGGGACACAAGCGGTAAAGGGATGAATAATACCTCTTCTTCTCAACAGAGAAAAGGCCTGATGCATGCAATAGGTCATATGTTCTTGGATAGGTATCAAATGGTTCACACCTGGAAAAGAATTTAGGAATCCCAAAGCATAGAGCAATCAAAAACCATTCAATCACAAATGAAAAACAAATATACCAATTTTAAACCGTGAAATTTTGAGCATGAAAAAACTATCCATATGGTTCACAGGTTGGTTTTACTAAGGGCCGTGTTTGACAGCTTCTTGACTTAGTTTAAGGCTCACCCTAGTTCATGTCAATTTACTAGATGTGCTAACTGCTACATGGATTAGCCCAAAGCAGCTCGGTTTTGCTAAAAAATGACATCATGGCTTCCAGAAAATACATCTAAGTAGAAATTTTGATTATTACATAAATGGTATCCTTTCTCATTTAGATATTTTTTACTGTTATTTCCTCCACATCGGCCTCAAGAGGTACATATTTTTTACTATTCATAGTCTAAAACAGTATGCTTTGTTTCCAGATAATTAGCTTCATGTACTTTATACGAGGGTAAATACAATTTGGATAAATGCTACAATACCACCAAGCACATGATGTTGCAAGAAGAATATGAAATCCAGATTTTAAAGTGCACATTCACTATACCAGTCATGCATAACTCCTATAAGTCTGCGATCATAAATTACAGGCAAGGTGTTGAACCCACTAACAGGAACAACATTCATAACCCAGCAATCAATCTGGAGATCAATTAAGGCTGCTGCAAACCTGCCAGAGTAAAACTAGTCAAAAAATTCAAAATAATGCAATATTTCTATTACATTTTTATGAAAAACATAATACTTCAAAATCAGAAAAGTATGTACAGCAACATGGTATATAAGATGTTACCCTCCAAGTCCAGCTCTCATGTCCATCACATTACGTAGTTTCATATCTTTCCAGCGAAAAGCGCGTATGTAACTCTATTATTTCATTCCAGTATTTTGACTCTGCTCTAAAGATCTCCTTTCTGGATATGTAGCCATCCATTTCTATGCTTTGAAGCCTGTCGGGTGGAACATGAAGACGTGCAGGCCAGGTGCTAACATTAGAGCCATAACCATTCACTGGCAATTGAGTGATGCAGGCCCTCAAATCAGCATACCTGCAAACGTCATTACATGGTAGCTTGTTACGAGTTGTTCAACTTTGGCAGTATAAACTCCTTGAGCTTTTCTGACATACCGAAGTTTACAGGAGCATACAATATGAGCAAAAAAAAGAAACAAGGAGGCTACAAGCTAAAAATACTCCTTAAAAGAATATAATTCAAGGTTGTCAAAAACAATATCTTTTCTCTACCAGTATGCTTAATTGCCGGAGATTTTAGTAAAATAATGACGATAATTCCCCAATCCAAGCCCCCACCCTAAAATTTCCCGCTCTCAACTTTCTAATAGCCAAGCCTTAAACAAGGATCTCTCAATTCTTCTATGCTATTCTTATCTGTACTTCATTTATGGGTTTAACTCTGCATACGACTAAAAGAGAACGGCCTAAGCATTTGGTTAACTTTAGATAGCCGGATCCTTGCAGGTTTGAAATAAATGTAAATGGCCACAGAAGTGAAATATTTTTTGTTTTCTGAAGCACAAACTACAGGTATCAAATTTTGACTATAATCTTTTAAAACCTTAAAATACAGATTTGGTACACCAATTAAAAGAAAACACACCCAGAGATTTTTCAACTTAACGGAGTTTCCAGTCTAACTCTCAAGCTACTGATTCTTCTTTACACCATGGCTATGATCTGAAGAGCAATTTCAAGAAAAATTGCAGGATACTGTGTCGCAAAACCTTGGTCTAGAGCCAAATTTGTTAAAATAATTAACGGAAGATTTTATTGTCATTTAAATGTGGTGACTTTTATGTATTGAAGCAGGACATACCAAACATTATCTGAATTATCATTGGGGTCACAAAGGGGAGGTAGTGCTCCAGTATCATTATTAAGATAGCAGGTATTGTTTAAAGGCTTCCGCCATATGGCAATATATCCCTCCTTTACTAGCTCCCAGCAAAAGCGAGAGGTAAGATCCTCCATTTCTGTAGATAAATCAGTTTAAAATAATATCCGAGTATTTCAATGTTCAATGTATCAATCTTATTTCCATTGAACACGATAAAAGATGATAAAGGTGGATGAAGGTCATAGTTGATCAAGGAGTTATACATACAACTGACGTTTTGGTTCTTTCTTATTTAAACAATTAAGTGATGCAAAGCATTCAAGGCATCTAAAACATTGTATCGGGATATCATGCACCATAAAAAACGTCTGCATGTGAGTGCTGAGAGAGAGAGAGAGGGCTGTAAAAAACTTGACATGAGGGGATACCTTTCCATTGCTCCTGTAGAATCTCTTCATGTTTATACACAGGCTGTGCAGCCCAGACAAAATAACCCCCAGCTCTAAGCATCCTGTTGACCTCGAGAAGCAAAATTCCATCTTCATCATAGGCAAAAAAAAAAAAAGAAGCATCAAGATCAACGAGCTCCGGAGTACATGCAGCATATATGTATATTCGTATATAACTAATATCTCAACCCACTAAGCATAAAAACAGGCACACACATTTATATATGCACATTCAGAGGGTAAACACCTGCACACAAGCAATTGTAACCACAAAAGAAATCTTTCGGAAGAATTTAAATTTCATTATTAAGTTGCAATAGTCAATTAAAGACCACTGAATTTTAATTGGATGCCAATACTTCTCAAATATTTCAAGATATAGCAGCTGTTTTGGACATGATAAAGAAAATATAGTTTACAGTCACGAATCCATTTAATTCTCCATCTTGAACAATGTATCAAGTCAAAAGCCTGACTTGGATACAACAGTCGGTGAGTAGCAAATACCGCAACCATGGCAGGTACCCCACGCTCTAGTGCAAATTGAATTTGGTTTTCATGAACATCTTTCGGTGCTATTGATAAAGTGGTGACATTGCGATGCAGAAGAAAGGCACCAAAACTGGCAACTCCACAACCAATATCTAATGCAACATGGATATGGTGGCCAAAAGAAATTTCAGGAACCATCTGCATACAGAAAGATGATAATAAATCTCATGTCAAAAGCACGTGTACTACTATCAACTAGAGAATGTGAAAGCAGACAGCCTGTGAGATCTGATTCAAATACTGATCAGCACCATGAATAAATTGTGTTCCACCTCCAGGAAAAATGAACTTGTCTTTCTTTATTGACATCCAATTTTGCCCACCTTTATCTTCAACCAGACGGGTATGGGGCACATTGCTAGACCAAACCTTCAATCATAAGTCACAATTAGCCAAAAGAACCTTAAATAAGATTTTGGCACGGTAAAACAGTTAAGTTGAGATATAGCACCAAAGAAGGTTGTTATATCCAAATAGTATTCACAGCAGCAGGTGCAGCAGCAATGATAACTAGATAGACAGAATGGCAGATGGAACAGCATATAGAAAATGGTAAGACTTCAACACCATAAATTTCTAGAAGAGGAATATTAAAATCTTGTGATATCTATGTTCTTGGTAAATAGGTCACAGTCAAGATATACCCTCAACAGGCAAAAAAAAAAAAGGTGAAAGAAAATTACTAGCATAATAACTAAGAAATCAAAGACCACATATTTGTAAATAATGAAAACAACACATAGGCTAGGGATGCCTGCTCGCAGCTCTTAGCTAACCTCTTGTCACATTTAAAGTTGACTAAGCCCCTCTTGTCACCTTAGTTCAACTCCAGCCCTTTGCACAGGCATTTGACATCAATGAAACAACAATAACACCCAAAAGTGCAATTATTTGAAATCAATACCCAATCAAACTCCCATCTATACCTTACTAAAATCATCAAACTTCCCTACTCGGAAGCCTAATTTCAATCCAATTCGATTTTTTTAATTGTAAATATAGTCAAATAATGTTCAGGCAAAAGCTCACCTCATCACGACTTTGAGGCAAAGGTATAGATCTCCGGTACCCTTCCGGCCTCGGAACCACACAATCCAACATTCTACCTTTTCCAGGACAATGCCTCTCGTATTTCTCCCCTTTTTCACTATTAGCACAATTTAAATATAATATAAAAATAATTTACTAGATAATTTTA